AATTAGATAAATAGAAATTAATTAATTAGATAATTAGTTAATAATTAATCAAATAATTAGTTAATAGTTAATTAGTTTAACAATTAACTAACTAGATAATTAGTTAAGTAATTGTCAAGCAAATAATAATTGTCAAGCAAGAAGAGGGCAAATTGGAAGAAATTTCTTATCTCACTTCTACAAAAGCTGTCAGGGAGGTTTCTGCAACGAATTGTTACTGTTCAGGGGAGGTGAATGCAATTTCAAAACCTAGAGGGGAGGTCAGTGCAAATGTCAGAAATCTCAGGGGAGGTTTCTGCAATTATCCCATGATTAAAATAATGGTACGAAGGCTATTTCTTTTTTACCCTAGAAGTTTGCTAATTTCTAAAAACAGCGTACTATTTCACTGTAATAATTTATTAAGCACGTACAAATTTCACTGGGCGGGTTATTTGGGCCCGATTTTTGTCCATTTCGATATGAGTTTGACCCTTGAGGCTAACCTAGTGGTCATTGACAATGTGCGTTGGACGCTTGCTATGCTTGTATGTAAGTAGCATAATCCAATGCGGGTTCTCCATCCGCTCCCATCAGCCCTTGTAAAGTTTTAGCTTAACGCTTAATGTACATATATTTTTACAGGGCAAATTATCCATTTGGCCCTTGAACTCTTTGTCTAAGTAAAAATAAGCCCCTCATCTATTTTTTTGTTGACTTTAAGCTCTCGAACTTGTAAAATTGGGCACCCGTGACCCTTTTAGCCAGTTTCTCCGATTTTGTAACCGGAAGACGAATTCACACGAGTGGCAGTATGCTTTGGAAAATGGCATTTTTGTCCGCATCTTCTAAGCAAAAAAAAGAACAACTCCTCTCTCTTCCCTCCATGGACTACTCCTACACCTACGACGACCTCATCTTCCTCCCCCACTTCATTGACTTCTCCACCGATGCCGTCTCCCTCTCCTCTCCTCTCTCCCGCAACCTCTCCCTCTCCCTCCTATTCGTCTCCTCCCCCGTAGACACCATCTCCGAGTCCTCCATGGCTTCAGCCATGGCCTCCCTCAGTGAAGTCACAGTGAAGCCCTCCATCTCTGAGATCAAAATCTCCTCGCTCAGCTTCGCCCTCAGCAGCCCGTACAGCAGGCACGCGAAGTCACAATGAAGCCCCTCGTCCCGCGAGATCAGTTTGTTGGAGAAGGTCAAGCCCGGCATCAGCCCCCAATTCTTCACCCAGAATATGGCACAAAAGCTCCCTGAGAAGAATATCCCCTCCACGCAGGCAAAGGCCACCAGGCGCTTCGCGAAGGACTCGGAGCCGTCGATCTAGTGGAGGGCCCACTTGATGCCATCAGGTTTTCGTCTAGTCTGCATGAGCTGAAGAATGAGAGGTCGTCGAGTTCAAATATCTGAACCTCTGGGCAAGAAATCTCTTCTGACTAGTGCCTCCAGAACACTGGATTTTCCACTGCTCTGGCTTCCGACGACGGCCACTTGCGGCAATTCAATTGTAGACTGACTGAAGAGCTACGCGAATATGTCTTGGAGCTTGTTGACGATCAGAATGACCGAGCTCCCCAACGGCACAACACTACTATTGGATTGACTGGCCAGAGATGGAGAAGCAACAGTGTCATTTACTGGTACCTCAACCATAGATGGACTGTCGTTGGCTGAGAATTGAGACCAATCAAATCAACTGTGCGTTAGCTACCGTGTTCTACTGTGTGTCGAAGAGATCGAAAGAGGGGAGTACTAAAACCCTAGCGTCGCGCGAGTTTTGAATCTTTTGACAAAAATGCCATTTTTCAAAGCATACTGCTACTCGTGTGAATTCGCCTTCCGGTTGCAAAACCGGAGAAACTGGCTAAAAGGGTCACGGGTGCCCAATTTTACAGGTTCGAGGGCTTAAAGTCAACAAAAAATAGATGAGGGGCTTATTTTTACTAGACAAAGAGTTCAAGGGCCAATTGGATAATTTGCCCTATTTTTATGATCTAACTTAAATTTACACTATATTATCTATATTCACATTTGAAATCTTTATATGTATCATAAATGTAGACCTCCTCATATATGAAGCGGTAATCCAAAAACTATTTACTTCATTTATGTGCCAGTATTACAGAACAGATTATTTCTTGAAGGTAATTGTTTAAGTGTTTTTTGAACAATCAACGATGACAACAATAAAGAAGTAGACTACTCACGAAGAGTGACCTAGATCAATACGTCGACGATGATTAGTTCAACCAAATAATTTCAAAGAAGATCAAAAAATAAAATGAATGATCAAAACTAGTAGTAAAACAATACAAATGCGACAAAATTTAAAGTAAAAAATTCTAACACCCTCACGGTACCATGAATGTGGAGTATGTTGATATCATTTAAAAGTTTGTAAAATTCTTAGTCAAATTTGAGAAGTGTATATCCTCTTTCATCATGGACTCTTTGAAATTTTTTAATAAATAGGTCGGAGTTTATGTCCAATCTTACACCGTTTCGAGGTAGTTTTTTATTAAGAAAAGAAACTATTTACATCCACAAATTCTCAGAAACTAAAAGTAGTTTTAATATCTTGTTTTCTTCATGCATTCCCATTTGCCATGACGTGTGGACTTGCAAATTTTACTTTGTCCTGCTTTTTTAGTTTTTACACCTTTGTTAAATTTTGCATAACCACTTACTTTCAAGAATATCCTTTGCCAAAACCATTGCCATTACCCTTTAGTTTTTCTTTTAACTCCAAAGCCCTTTCCTTTTTGTGGTATTCCTACTAAAGTAGAAATACAGAGAAGCTAATTAACATATCTAGTCTATTGGGGAATGCCAATTGTTTTCAATTGGGTTGTGATTGCTGACGTGCGCGCGCTGCTATTGGCTGATTGGCGGTCGTCCGCCCGTGCGAATTCCAATTGATGGTCGTCCGTTTCCCACGCGTGAATTCTTTTGTTTGCTTGCTCAGGCGTTTAGTAATCATTTTGCTTCTTTGTTTGTTTTTTTTTTTTTTTTTTTTTTTTGTCAACACAGGGGTGTCCGGGTCAAGACCCGAAGGCGGCCCGACTAATCCCCTGCGCCTGGAGTACAGCGCCACCCAACCGCACCCAGGCGTTAGGTGAGGTTTGATCCCACGACCTTGCGACGTGGTTTTCCAGCCGCAGACCGGGTGATCTAACCCCCGGGGGCTTAAAAGGCTGAAACAGAGTTCTTTTGCTTCTTTGTTTGTTGTTTGCCTGCTATTGGCTGATTGTTGGTGGTTGTTCGGGCCGTGCCAATTTCCAATTGAATTCTTTTGTTCAGACGTTTACAATCCTTTGTTTTCTTTGTTTGTTGTTTGCCAAGAAGTGTTCTGATTTATTGTTCATTAATATTGTTTGCCAGGAAGTGTTCTAATAAACCTGATTTACAATCCTTTTGTTATTTTATTGGATTGGAAGTGCTTGTTAACATATTACATGTTGGATTGTGCTAAAATTTGGCCCCTTTTTGCCCTTTCCCAACAATAAATTGTGTTAACAAAAAATTGGTATCTCAATTATTACAATTATCGGTGCTTTCTTTTGGTTGCAGAATAAATTGCAATTATTAATTATTATCTTTTATTGTACTTATAGCTTTAATTGTATTAATTATTAATTCATTGTTAGTAGCTAATTAATAATGTCGCTTTTTATTTTCATTTTTTGTTACCCAACAAATCGCTTTTAATTCATAACTTTTTTGCAATTATTAACAAAAAAAACCTTTTTTTGTTGCCCAAAAAATCTCATTTAGTTACCTTTTTCCCAACTTTTTTTTAAGGAAATGTCCTCTTTTATTTTTTAGGTTGCCCAACAAATGAGGTTTACTTATCAGCTTTGTTTCAATTCATTTTTTATTAATTAAGCTCTGGTTTTGCTGTTTAATTGCTGACTTTTATAATTATTATTATGTTTTTGTTGCCTAGCAAATCGCATTCAATTACCAGTTGTATGTAGTTATTACCCAAAAATTAGTCTCTTTTTTTTGGAAGTGAATTGTCACTTTTTATTGCCTAGCAAATAACATTTAATTACCAGCTTTTGTACTTATTAACACTTTTTTTTGGTTGCGCCAAATAAATCCCAATTATTTATAAACTTTTTTGCGATTAATTGTTAATCTACTTACTTATTATTACCTTTTGAAGTCTTTTATATTGAAGAATTTTTTACCTTTGGAACTTTTTTTGGCATATGGTTTGAGGATTTATGGTTTTTTGCCCTTTTTCCTTTTGATCAATCAAACGACATCGTATGCTGATGGATCTTCAATCCTTTTTCTTCCGCTTTTCTCTCTCTCTCTCTCTCTGTCAAACGCACACCTATCAGTCAGTGTCAAGAACTCTTGAAGACCGATCCCTATTGCTGTTATTCTCCAGACAAAATTCCATCTTTGCGAGACCCATAGTTTTTTCCTGAATTTCTGGCATTTGATTGTACTTGAAACAGGTTGTAATCTCAATTGGGGGCTCCAGATTTTTTTCCTTCTGATTGAGTTGATGGACGTGGGCTCAAGACTGCAAAGGACTGGTAATCTTCCTCTCCTCCCTTTGTCGATTTCTCCCTCCTGTTCTCCTTCATCTCCCTCGCTCCATACCTCAAGTAATTATAGCTGATTTTTTCTTTTTTTCTGCCATTTTACCTGATATTTCCTTGGCTAAAAACAATCAATTCTTCCCCCTTCTTTTTTTTGGTCCTTTTCTGAAACAACGAGGAAGTGAAAGGTTAATATTTCATCTCCACTGTCTATATGAATTTGTAGAATACAGATATGGTATTTTTCTTCCCCTTTCTTTCCATGATTAATGTATTTGTTTCATTTTAGTTTTATCATTAAATTTTTTATTTTTAGTTTCAACAAAAAACTTTTAATATGGTCGGAGATGGTGAATAATTGATGATTAGCTGGCCTGTAGAGTATTTATTTATTTTATTTTTTGTACCTACTTGTGTTTTATTGTTCCATTTTTCTTTCCGTTTTTGCCTTTCTAGGATTTCTTCTGCAACAGGGAGGAAAATGGCCACCCGTGAAAGACAACTGCTGAGGGGAAAATCGTAAGCTTTGTTTTATCATTCTAATTTAATTTTTACTTTAAATTGCTCTTTTCAGAGCTCAAATGATGGTATATTTTTCTTTGGCCTTTGCTCTTTTCAAACCTCATTCGAGTTTTCTTTTTTAGTCATTTTTTTTGGTGTCTTTCATGCAGGTGTTTTGTTGATCTCCTGATCAGAAAAGCAATCCATATGGTAACCAAAAAGATTCACTTGTTTAAATAGATTTCTTCATCGTCAAAATGTCTTTCTATTTGCTCCAGTTCTTCCGATTCCTTTTTCTTCATTGGGTTTTCAACATTTGAAGAATTAATAAATTTCTTCTCTGAGAATCAAGAACTTCCAGGTCACATTGGTTATTGGCCATGAGTTACAAAAGATCGTGTGATGCTATTCTTTTGATTGCTTTGTGTTGAAATTTTTTGTTTTAGTACATAAATTGTCTCTTGGTAAAACCTCTTGAATATTCGTTTTATGAACCTTAAGTGGATATTAAACTGAGTATCTTCAGCAATATATTTTTTTGTTACAATGGCAATCTAAATAGTTTTCCTATTTGTAGGTGGTTAAAGGTTTGTCCAAGATGAGGATTCTCAAATATTACATTCTAAGCACCTGCTTGAAATAATGAGTAAGTTACTGTTTTAATAAAACACCTTAAATTTTCTATTCCTTGATCAAAAAAAGAATTAAATTGCTACATAATTGTAGTTTTGCCTCTTGAATCATAGACTACGATGTTTAATAGCTTGGAAATTCTTATTAGGAAAATCAGTTTTGGTTGACTTAAGTCTATATTTACAAAACATGATGTTCTCTTAGATTTGTAACATTTCAGTAAGATTAAGTCTGGAAAACTGAACCTTATGATAGTTTTTTTACTTGTAAAAATAAACTTAATTGAGGTAAGCCTAAACAGAAAATTTTGTGAGAAACATGAAGATGGTATTCCAATTGATAGGTTCAAAAAGGTGAATATGATGCAGACCTTCAATTTATGTTGAAGTTTTTTATGCAGGAAAGAACTTAAAGGAAAGGCATGTTACTTTTGAAGAAAATTTGGTAGAACTCCTAATTTGTTTTAACTGGATGGATAATTTGTACGAAATAAATAACACATTTAGATGTTCAAATATGAGGGCAAGATGCCTCTACTTTGAGATAAATGGCATACAATTCTTCCTAGAATTTGAGAATACAATCACTTCTTTGACACATCCAACTATTTTTGGAGTGGTTTCTGGAGTCATCTTACCTCAGATTTTTTATGAGAAAAATTGATAGAAAGACCTCAGAGCCATCTCTCTCCTATCTTTTGTGTAAAAAAAAAAAAAACTCTCCCATCTCCTTTCTGTGCAAAAAGTTATTGTTTTCTCTTTGCTGGCGAGTTAAAGTACTGGGAGTTACAAAACTAAAGGCCTTCCCTCAAATTCCTGTATCTGCAATAGAGGAGTTTGGCTCAATGCTGACAAGACTAATCAATTCCCATCAGATAATTTTCCATATCTCAATCCCCTCCAACTCAAAGCTTCTATTTGAAAAGTCCCTTATGTTTTTATCTTTCTTTCTTTTTCTCTGAAAACTGCTAGCTTCTCCACTCTTGTTCTATGTGTACTTTTTTCTCTTGATTAAATTTTATTTTATTCTCTAATAAGTTTTATATGTTTGCTACGGGTTGAGGAATAGGGATTTGCTACCAAGTATGAATGATTGGAAATTCTTTGCTCAAGTAAATACATTTAGGATCTCTGTTTGTCTATTTTTTCTTTCTTTTTACCAGAAGTCAACTATAATCTTCTCCTATCTTTACTCCTCTTTCATAGACGTTCAAGAAATGGACTATGGAGAGGACAGTCTGCCTCTTATTGAAGTATTCCTAAAATTTCAGTGTAAGTCATGATTATGAGATTGTCAGTCTTTTTAAGCAACTCCATTCAGTAATTATCCTTACTTAAGATCCAATATTTTATGCTTTCACTTTTTTGCATTGAAACTTGTGATTATTTCCTTAGATGAAATGGTTTAATTTCTTTCCTCTTTTTTCATGTTCAAAGAAATTTTTGTTTTCCAGTTGATATTGCCAATAACTCTTTATAAGTAAATAATTCAAAGTAGGGTGTGTTACTGTTTCTGTTAAACTCTCTTAGTTAGTTGGTAATGATTTTGTCATTTTTTTTTCTTTTTGCAGCCAACTAATGCACTTTTTGGACAACTTTGTATAGATCAAGTGAGTGGAATTCCATCTTGGGGCCTTTTTTCCTTGGATTTGGATCAAAATTGTTTGATTAACGATTGGATTGTCATGTTTGCTTTGCTAAGCATGCTATCTATGCAATTTATTCAATGCTTGGGGTTAAATTCTAGGCTGTTAATGGTTGAAGTAGTTAAATTTCAAACCATGTAAGGTTTGTGAACCATTAAATGAAAATATTGAATTCTTGAAAGGGCTGTGAAATCAAAAGGGTCATACTCAGAAAGGAGAGGAAAACTTGTGATATTAATCTACATATCATCTTGCTTCATGTAACTATAGACTTTTATTTTAAAAAAAAGCAAGGAAAAATGATGGGTTTATATTTCATTTGCAACTGTTAATAATGTTGAAGAATATGGAGAATAAGTTCAATAATTTTCTCTGAATCATTCTCATGTTATTACCATGAGGTTGTTTTAATTATATTCTTCATCTGGCCGACACTTGTTTACACTAAATTTTTGTTAGATAAAGGAAGAGCGAAATAAGGAGGCTACTTTTCTTATTTCAGCCTTCAAGGTATGTGTGGGAGTTATCGTTTCAGTGTTTTTGTTCTCTCTTTGCTTTCTTTTTTTTTCAAATTTATTTAGCAGTTTATTCTTTGCACAACTATTGATGGATTTTGGGTAAGTCTTTGGAGGCTGTTTATGGATTTCAAGGTGAAGAAGTGGATAAAGAATCTAAACTGACACCTTATGGTGAAAAAATTAGTCAAGGTATGTGGTGATGGAAATATCACAATTAGCCTGGCACTATTGTCTTTGAGCTACTGGAAGATGATCAATGTGGTTCTTTACAAACTAAAATTGAAGGATATAGCAGTCCAGATGCCAAGTCAAACCTTTACAAGACTCTCGAATTGGCTTTAGATTCGGAACGCAAGTCATGGTTTTCTTTTGAATTGATGTAGTTCAGAATTTGAGTTAAATAGGTACTTATTTACCTTATGCATCTTATGCTATCCTCGGTTACTTGTTACTTTTTCTAAAGAAACTTAACTGATACAAATTCCCCAATTTATTCGACCAAAAAAATTTTTGCTTTTGTTTTTAATTGGACCTATATTACAAATTTCCCAATTTAATCGAGATCAAGAATTGTTACATTGCAGCCCTGTTTCTTTTTCGAAAAAGGCATATTTGTGGAAGCCTTATGGAATTGTATTAATAATTTCTGCATTAAAAGCTTTCAGTTGATCTTGACTTTACTGATTGGTCCAAGATTGCATGTAATGATCTTATGCCTTTTCTTAATGAAAATGATGTAATCCATGGGAACTTCAACTTGCTATTTCATGGATAGTTTAAATAGTTCATATCAAGTTGGTCAGTGGTTTACATTTTTTCTTGGTTTTAGGTATTCCTGTTAACTTGATTTTTTCTTGAATTCCAAGTCATCCTGTCCGCTCATTGCCTTTCTATTAAATGATGGAAACCACATGGATGACTTGATTGTGCTTGTTTCCAAATAATGTATAGGTATTACTGTCATTCTGATGAACAGCAAGTCTTTGCCTAAATTCAACATCTTTTGGTTGAGGACTGCATGTGCTGAACCCTCTTAGGATCATTTGCTTTCATCCCTCAAATTTCTAAATCTCTTTGCATTTCCTTCACCCGTTGTTTTTTGAATAATCACTTGTTGCTATCAATCATATAGTACTTACTGAATTTGCTTTTCAAATTTTTGGAGGAAAAGTGAGAAATTTGATGAACTGCTCGAGTTGGCTGGCTACTACAAGACTTTTCTCATGAATTCTTATCAAGAAGCAAGGTATGGTTTTCCAACCACAAACAGTGTGGATATGAACTATTTTACTATTTGCTATCATTTATCTTTCCCCAGTATAGTGATCAATAATTGTGAGATTGATTGGCCTTTTTACTTAATCAATAATTTCTGTTTCGTATTTGTTTCCATGAAATGTTAGTTCTTTCATTTTATTTCTCAAATTTCAATATTTTTGGCTTCAAAATGATCACATATTTCGTTCCTATTTTTACATGGTATCATTCTTAATTTTGTCTAATGTGTAAAGTTTTGGTTTCAACATACAAGAGCTTAATTTACACTTGATTTTGACACATACAAGGCCATGGCAATAAAGAACGTTATCACCATTTCATATGCATATCAAGCATAGCTACCAGCAAATTACATTTTATAGAGGAGAAAGTAGTTTTTATTTGCTTCCTGCTGGGCCGATTCCAACTCAATTTATACTGTAATATTATATTCCTTTTAGTTCCATCAGAGTAGTTCATTTATTACTCTGTCCAGATTATATCCTTAATGATACATAAAATTCATATGGCTTAAACATAAAATTGCATTACCTCTTGTGCAGGATAAAAACATGGCAGTAGGAGATTATTCGAATAAGCTCTGGGAAAGAGAAAGACAAATAAACTCTTGAATGATATTCGACATTGTAAAGAGATTGAGAAATGCAACTTGAACCATAGTAAACACTTAGGGCCGCTTGGTTCATGTTTAGGAAACGGAATTGTAATTGGAATCATTTACAAAAAATTAGTATGGTTTGATTGGGTTGTGGTCAAGGTATCAATACAATAACAAGCGCTTGGTAGATATTTGTCAGGAATGGATATTACATTAAAATTTGAATATTTTATCATTTTTAAATTTTTTTTTGTTCTCTCCTTTTTGTTCTTAATCCAATTGCAGAACATCCTTCTTAACCGAATTGTAGAACTTCATAGTGACCATTAATGGATCAACCGCTATTTTTCTTGACTTCAAGATCACAAAATCTGTTTTCGTAAACCCCACTTGTAACTTGAAGATCATTAGATCTAGTTTCTAAACAACTTTAAAAAAAAGAAAGAAGAAAGACTCAGATTTGCAGCCATTCAACCCCAAAAAAGATGAGAGTCGTCATCAGTCAGATTGCAGCCATACTCCATCAAAAAGATTTGCAGCCATACTCCACCACTTTAACTCCTCCTTGTGACAGCCCTACCTTCCCCTAAGGCGTACCAAAGGGGTTAGCGGACTGCCTGCCCAACTCTTGCTAGGACTAACGAGCAGTTAAATGAAATCGAAAACGTTCAGAAAGGTAATAGCGCGCTCAAATGATTCAAAGTCGCCAAATGGCAAAACGAAAATCGAAACCATAATGAATAGTGGTTGCCACGTCACCATCCAACTAGAAGCCAATCGAATACAGATATAGCCATATAACTCGGGAAAACATTTCCAAACCAAATAGGATACATGAACAGGGTAAATAGTTTTATACATATACGTTTGTAATTTACAAATAAAAGGAAAATATTTGGATCCAAGTACATTCAGAGTTTCCAAGCATCGAGGAGCTTTACACAGAATATGTATTAAAACTAGCTCAACTCGTACATCAAAATATCACAGTCTTCAAAAGTTGTTCTCTGTAAGGAAAACAAAATTTAATGGAGTGAGCTTTCGCCCAATGAGGTACTATCACTCAGGCATTCAAGGGGTACAAAATCACAGTGATACACTATTCAAATAAGTTCAACAAGTAAGCACAACAAACATCACATTCCAAGAAGATTTGTAAAAGGATACGGTCGGCTCTCAAGAGCCCTTTTCCACTTTTGGCATACTTGATCTCACCTCATTGACGCTCCGTCAATGTTTAAAAGTAACCAATACCGTAGACCCCATTTTACTCCCATTTCCTTCCACCTCACATACCCCTACCGGGCCCGAACTCCAAACAGTTCAATAAATGGTAATACTCGAGTATACCGGAACCAAGAGTCTCATACTCAATGATTCCTTATAACAGTCCCCATGGTTTATCAATTTCCTCGATCAAGCCCTTGCTGGCTCGATTCAATTGACCACCAATGGGGTTGAGCTCAGTGATAACAGTATAAGTCATTGGAGACACGTTCAAACGACACAGTTCAAGTATAATCAAGTCAATTCAAGTGATACAGTGAACAGTCAATTAAACCATAGAGTGCGAGAGTGGTAAAGTACACCCTCGTCTCAACCAGTATCATCAGTAAACACAAACATTCCAATCATGTATCTCAAGTACAACAAAGCCAAGAAGTATCAATCATGTGAGTAGTACACTCACCAAGTAAGCAAAGAGAATTTTCACACTTGTCCACCCGACGAGCGTTTCGGACCACCGTCACGCCCTAAAACATTCAAACAAGCACAATGAGACTCGTTTACGAGTCATAAACCATATCCACATACTACAAAAAATAAGACTCCATTAGAACGTATAAGTACCAAAGTAAGTTAGGGAAAGTCCGGAAATGAAAGTTAAACACTAAAACCCAAAAACAGATTTGATGTCATTTAGCGTATTGGACACAACCGGCACTACGATTATCGGATTGGGGTGTAATTTATACCGTTACGAAGCTAAGAAAGAGGGCTACAACTTTGATGAAGGCTACTCAGTCTAGTTTACAATGTTTCTAGGTCAAATTTACCAAAACAACCTCAGATTTTCCAATTCGAAGTTTACTGTGGCAGTCCTGATTCATTCAGTCATATCTTAGCATATACAACTCCAATTCAAGGATTCCAAAGCCATTTGAAAGCTAAGATACAAGGCTATAAGTCTTAAAAAGACATCGACAACCAAATCAGTAGTATTCCTGGTCAAAACAACCAAGTACAGAAGCTGATTAGCATGTTCGGATAGAAACAGGGCAGCAGGGGTATTTCAGTCTTTTCACAGGCTACGTTGCTTCGATTGGGCTGAAATTTTGCAGGCATATATTTAACTCAAGTATCTACAATTCATGTTCTGAGCAGGACCTGGTTCGGCCTTTACCATGGACAACCATGCAGTGCAAAAACAGGGCAGATTCATCATCTAAGTTACAAATTCATTTTCCTGTAAAAACAGGACATTCAAGCAGGACAGCCTACTTTGAGGAATCACGGACAGCAGTACACCAGGAGGAAAAATATGAAATTTTTACAGAACGAAGGCCATGAGTCTAGTTTCCGATGCCACTGACGGCACCTCAATCGGATTTTTCGACATCAAGATATAAGCATTTTACTGAGACTGGTCAGTGAAGCCGAAAATCAGGAAACTCATTTTTCACTTGTGAAAAACTCCTTTTCTCTTTTAAAACCACAAAAATTTTATTCAAACCACTCATACACTTAAGTATGACATTCATATCAGCAACTTTAACATAATTTAAGCATCAAATTTCAACAAAAACCAAAGGTGAAGCTCAACTCTTCCTCTCTCCCACTTCGGACAATTTCAAGCTTTCACAAGAGTTACTTCAACTTTATTGCTGCCAATCTCACATCTAAGCCAGCAATTTTCTACCAAGATCAAAGACAACATGCTATATATCATACGAAACAAGAAATATAACATTTATAGCAAAACTTCCTAGTGGAAACTCCTCAAAATTTCACAAGAAAAGCTGTAAATTGAGCTCATGTTTCTCCCTCGGTCAAATCTGGAAATTTCATTTTAGCAACCACTAGCTCACGTGGATGCTATATTTACACCAAGCTTCATCTATCAAAAGGGATTCAAGGATTCCCTAGTAACTTGCAGCAAAACAAGAGCCAAAATCTAGAAAACAAATGGTTATTCCTAGTTCAATCCAAGCTGGAAAATTTCCAGCAATAAAGCAAGTCTCTACAACCTGTTTCTACCTCAATCCAACCTCAACCAAACATACATCAAAAGCCCTCTAAGGTATGTGAAAGAAATTGAAATTCCAAGTCATGTTACCTTTGACACAAGCTAGAAGTTAACTCCCTGTTTTGGTCCTTCTACCCGATCAAGCAAGCTGGAAATGGAAGTAAGACACAAGCTTCCTTTAA